CTCCTGTCATCCTCATTCCCGTGCCCATCCCTGTGCCCATTCCCGTTCCTGTCACCCTCATTCCCATGCCCACGTGTCCCTGTCCCCACGCGTGTCCCGTGCCCACACGTGTCCCATCCCCACACGTGCCCCGTGCCCGCGTGTCCCTGTCCCCACACGTGTCCCATGCCCATGCGTGTCCCGTGCCCGCGTGCCCCGTGCCCACGTGTCCCGTGCCCACGCGTGTCCCCATGCCCGCGTGTCCCCGTGCCCACGTGTCCCGTCCCCACGCGTGCCCCGCGCCCGCGTGTCCCGTGCCCGTGTGTCCCGCGCCCGCGTGCCCCGTGCCCACACGCGTCCCGTCCCCACGCGTGTCCCGTGCCCACGTGTCCCGTCCCCACGCGTGTCCCGTGCCCACGTGTCCCTGTCCCCACGCGTGTCCCGTGCCCACGTGTCCCATCCCCACGCGTGTCCCATCCCCACGCGTGTCCCGTGCCCGCGTGTCCCATGCCCACGTGTCCCATCCCCACGCGTGTCCCGTGCCCACGTGTCCCTGTCCCCACGCGTGCCCCGTGCCCACGTGTCCCATCCCCACGTGTGTCCCATGCCCACGCGTGTCCCGTGCCTGCGTGCCCCGTGCCCGCGTGTCCCTGTCCCCATGCATGTCCCTGTCCCCACGCGTGTCCCGTGCCCACGTGTCCCATCCCCACGCGTGTCCCATCCCCACGCGTGTCCCGTCCCCACGCGTGCCCCGCGCCCGCGTGCCCCGTGCCCACACGTGTCCCTGTCCCCACGCGTGTCCCGTGCCCACGCGTCCCGTCCCCACGCGTGTCCCGTGCCCACGCGTCCCGTCCCCACGCGTGCCCCGCGCCCGCGTGCCCCGTGCCCACGTGTCCCGCGCCCGCGTGCCCCGTGCCCGCGTGTCCCGTGCCCACACGTGTCCCTGTCCCCACGCGTGCCCCGTGCCCACGTGTCCCATCCCCACGCGTGTCCCTGTCCCCACGCGTGCCCCGCGCCCGCGTGCCCCGTGCCCACGTGTCCCTGTCCCCACGCGTGTCCCGTGCCCACGCGTCCCGTCCCCACGCGTGCCCCGCGCCCGCGTGCCCCATGCCCACGTGTCCCGTGCCCACGCGTGCCCCGCGCCCGCGTGTCCCGTGCCCACGCGTGCCCCGCGCCCGCGTGCCCCGTGCCCGCGTGTCCCGTGCCCACGTGTCCCGCGCCCGCGTGCCCCATGCCCACGTGTCCCGTGCCCACGCGTGCCCCGCGCCCGCGTGCCCCGTGCCCACGTGTCCCTGTCCCCACGCGTGTCCCGTGCCCACGTGTCCCGTCCCCACGCGTGTCCCGTGCCCACGTGCCCCGTGCCCGCGCGCCGCGCTCACAGATGCAGCTGCTGCGGGACGAGTCGAGGATGTAGCCCGCGTGGCACAGGCAGGCGAAGCTGCCGCGCGTGTTGCTGCACAGCCCGTTCTGGCACAGCCCCCCGGCCTGGCACTCGTCCACATCTTGGGGGGGGACACGGGGACATGAGGGCGCCCCCATGGACGCCCAGGACCCCCGCGGACCCCCACTCACCCACGCAGGAGCCGTTGGAGCGCTGGAAGCCCTTGGGACAGGGGGAGTCCTGCGGCGCCGGCAGGTGGGCTGCGGGGGGACAGCGGGGGTGAGACCCCCCCCCGGCCCGGCCATGGGACCCCCCCCGGCCATGGGACCCGCCTCTGGCCATGGGACCCCCCTCCAGCCACAGGACCCACCCCCTGGCCATGGGACCCCCGCCTTGGCCATGGGACCCCCCCTCCAGCCATGGGACCCTGGCCCTGGCCATGGGACCCCCCCTGGCCATGGGACCCCACTCCGGTCAAGGGACCCCCCTTCCAGCCATGGGACCCCCACCCCAGCCATGGGACCAGCCCTGTCCATGAGACTCCCCCCGGCCATGGGACCCCCCCCTCCAGCCATGGGACCCCTCCTCCAGCCATGGGACCCCCCTTCTGGCTATGGAACCCCCCCGGCCATAGAACCACCCCCCGTCCATGGGACCCCCCCTCCAGCCATGGGACCCCGCCCTGGCCACGGGACCCCCACCCTGGCCACGGGACCCCCCACCCCGGTCACGCGCCCCCTCCGGCGCGGCGGGGGGCTCACCCGTGTCCCCCTCGCAGGGCTGGCACTCGTGGACGCCCCAGGCGACGCCGGCCCCGCGGCAGCAGATCTCCTGGGTGCGCAGCCCCGGCAGCGGCGAGCTGCACTGCACGGCGGGGACACCGCGTCGGGGGGGGACGTGGGAGCCCCCCCGGGGCCCGTGCGTGGAGCTGCCGTGTCCTCGCACGCACGGCGCCCACTCGCACGCACGCTGCTTGTTTGCATGCATGCTGCTTGCTTGCATGCACGCTGCTCGTTTGCATGCACGTTGCCTGCTTGCAGTGCTTGTTTGCATGCACACTGCCTACTTGCACTCATGATGCTTGTTTGCATGCACGCTGACCACTTGCAGCGCTCGTTTGCATGCACGCTGCCTGCTCGCACACATGGTGCTCGTTTGCATGCACGCTGCCTGCTCGCACAATGCTTGTTTGCAAGCATGCTGCCTGCTTGCACTCGTGGTGCTTGTTTGCATGCATGCTGCCTGCTCGCACGATGCTTGCTCACATGCACGCTGCCTGCTTGCACTCATGGTGCTTGTTTGCATGCACGCTGCCTGCTCACACAGTGCTTGCTTGCATGCACGTGGCCTGCTTGCACTCGTGGTGCTTCTTTGCATGCACGCTGCCTGCTTGCAGTGCTTGTTTGCATGCACGCTGCCTGCTCGCACAATGCTTGTTTGCATGCACGCTGCCTGCTTGCACTCATGGTGCTTGTTTGCATGCATGCTGCCTGCTCGCACGATGCTTGCTTGCATGCACGCTGCCTGCTTGCACACATGGTGCTCATTTGCATGCACGCTGCCTGCTTGCAATGCTTGCTTGCATGCACACTTCCTGCTTGCATGCATGGTGCTTGCTTGCAAGCACGCTGCCTGCTCACACACATGGTGCTCATTTGCATGCACGCTGCCTGCGTGCATGCATGGGGCTTGCTTGCATGCATGCAGCTCAACAGCACATGTGCTGCTTGTTTGCAAAAGTGCGCATGGCAAAAAACACCGTGCACGCAAGAAAGCAGCACGACTGCTTACATGCATGCAGCTCGCATGCATGCACGCAGCTTGCTCGCACGCATGCTGCTCACTTGCATGCCCAGGTCCTTTTAGCATGCATGCTGCTCTCGCACGCGTGCTGCCCACTCGCATGCATGCTGCCCACTCGCATGCCCACAGCCTTTTAGCATGCACGCTGCTCACTTGCACGCATGCTGCTCACTCGCATGCCCAGCACCTTTTAGCATGCACGTTGCTCACTTGCATGCATGCTGCTCATTTGCATGCCCAGGACCTTTTAGCATGCACGTTGCTCACTTGCATGCATGCTGCTCACTCGCATGCCCACGGCCTTTTAGCATGCACGCTGCTCACTTGCACGCATGCTGCTCGCTCGCACGCATACCGCGCACTCACATGCACGTTGCTCACTCACATGCATGCCGCTCACTCGCATGCACGCTGCTCACTTGCATGCCCACAGCCTTTTAGCAAGCATGCTGCTCACTTGCACGCATGCTGCTCACTCGCATGCCCAGCACCTTTTAGCATGCACGCTGCTCACTCGCACGCATGCTGCTCACTCGCGTGCCCAGCACCTTTTAGCATGCACGTTGCTCACTTGCACGCATGCTGCTCACTCGCGTGCCCAGCACCTTTCAGCATGCACGCCGCTCCCTTGCAAGCATGCAGCTCGCTTTGAGCCGCGCGCGCGCCCACCTCCCCGTTGCGGAGCTGCCGGAAGCAGTATCCGTAGCCGGCGCCCTCGCCGTAGCCGGGCACGCGGGGGCTGCTCTGCGCCAGCACGCTGTAGAGGGCGGCGCGGGGGCCCGGGGGGGCGCTGGGGGCCGCCTCCCCCTCGCGCACCCGCTCCACTTGGTGGATGGTGACGGACGCCTCGGGCGGGTGCTGCACGTGCACGCTCACCATGGACGCGGCGCCTGCGGGAAGGATGGGGGGGTCTGCAGGTGCCCCCCCCCCCGAGTCCCC